TATAGAAGGGAGAATTTAAAATGAATCAGATCTTAGAGTTTAAGAAGTCAACATTTAAACTGCATGAATTGATAAAGCCACAATTTTTGGTCATACAATGATAATTGTTGAACTGTGATAGAGAACTGAAATATAATTTTTGGTTCAAATGTCTACGTCAATTGTATAAAAGCAATATGTGATACATACATCTTATAGATTTAAAGTAAAATTACTAATTCAAGTCATGAAAATTAAATGAGGCCAGGTTTGGATAGCTGATCAAAGGTTGGTTGCTGCTTGGTTTATGCTAAATGAGGTATCATGATAGAATTTTATTATACTGAGTAACAAACTAAATCTCTAGTTCGAGAGAGTTTAACTAAAATTTATTCTTGCTTTCTCTTCACCATATTCCCACAATTAGCATAGCTCCATTATCTGCATATATAAACACACACAACCTACAATTCTTCCAATCAATCTGATGAAGGGCTATAAATGCTTGAAATGTCAGCTTTTAAACTCTTTATGGTGGCCAATTTACATTATGAACTAATTTGATGTTATTATTACCCTGTTATACTCTCCCACCGATGCAACACAGCAATTTCACTAGAAACTTACCCTCTTTCAATCCCCAGAACTTGAGGTAAAGAAAAAAATTACAGAACAATTGGTAATTGCTTTTTATTAATGCAATCCTTTTTGTTTTTGTTTTTTCCTTTTTGTAAGATAATGCTAACCTATTCTATATGGAATTCAAAGTTTAAAATACCTTGTGTTGAAGAGCCACTATTTGTGGCTTGTGATGAACCCTCACTTTCACCAATATCAGTCAGTGGAATAATTTCTGCAGCATTATCTGAAAATGGTATGTTCTAAGTTAATTGCAATTATTGACCAAGCACTGCATGTATGAAGACTTTATATGCAAAAATATAGAAAGAAGAGCTAAAATTAATTGTAAAGCAAACTTAAAGTTATGTTCAGCAAAATTAAATCTTAAGAAAGTTTATGAATATATTCAGTCTACGTCACAAAGATTCAGATCTCATAATTAATTCACCTTACTGTCTGCTATACAGTTCTGTTTATTTTAGCTGGGAGAATTTGCTATTGGACGAACTAAGTATTGCCCAATCAATATTTGTCTTAATTCTCATCACTTGTCTTCTCAACATCGTACAGATATTGATTGTAAGGAGAGATTCTGTCTTGGTCACTCTTAAGGGGTTAGAGATGTGGGCTTAATGTCAAATTTTATGGATGACTTCATTGAACTTATTGAAAAGGTAAAATGTAAGTGGATGAGGGTGAAGATGTGATCTAAAATAAAACATTTTCAGATTGGTTTTCTGAAATAATATTGGAAAAGTGCTCTGAAGAAATTGGGGAACAGAATCAACTGCCTTCCCAAACTACTGGGCAACTTATGTCTTGACATTAAACACTGGATGTAAATTTCTTGTTCCTGTTTCAGGTGACCTTTTCACTCCCAATATTTCATTAGTAATTCTCCTTACTGTCTGCCACACAATTCATATAGATTGAGTTTGGTGAAATTGGTAATGGATCAACAAATAATGTTAACTGATATTTTGCTTTATTCTCACCACTTATCTGCTGATGTTTTAATCATGTTGTAAGGAGAAATTTTGTTTTGGTTGGTGGTGGAAGTTTAAGGGTTGAGGTTAGTGTATAAAATTTTTACTTGTGATATGATATATCACCTGTTTTGTCATCAGCTTTTTAAAAAACACTTTTCATGCTATCAGTTTCCTGATGGCAAGACCAGAGGACTTGCTAGCACGATTTTGGACCAATTTTTGAGTGTTAAAAACTTACCTGTTGACTCCTCATCTCTTGGAGTACTGTGATCTTGCCTTTTCTTGTGGACAATCACTATCACCAGCACTAAGATAGTTGGAGCAAACACAATAACTAAAGCTATCAAAACATAGTTAATTGTTAAAAGTGTTTTGTGGTCCTGTCCAGGCTGAACTTTGTTTGTTGACCACACATTTGCAGAGTCATAATTTTCTTTTAGTGGTTGACTGCTGTTTATCTTGACCTTAACTGAAGGACTTGAGGCAGTGGTGGTAACATCATAGACTTCCGTTTCAGATTGTGTTTCAGTTATCTCTTTGCGACTGGTTTCCAATTTAACAGTTTTTGTGGAATGTGTTGTAGTAGGTGTGGGCATCATTGATTCCACTTTCACACAGTCATCAATGTTAATGTCAAATTCATATCCTTTAGGACATGTTTTCCCACACTCACGGTTGTGGTTAATTGTGCATTCCTTAATCATATTCCTCAAACCACAATCTTGACACGTTTTGCAGTGACCTTTTCCATGCTTATCAGAGAAAGTTTTGTTAGGTTCACAAAATACACACTCAATTTTTGAGTCATTTGACACCTTGGATCCACAAGGAACTGACAATCCCTGTCCAATGGGACAGTTTGCACAAGGAACACAGTCCACTATTTCACCATTGGGACTATACCGTACAATGTTTTTTGACAGAGGACATGGTATGGGTTCACATTTTATCGGAGACTGCAGCCATAGTAACCAAAGTAGTGTTATCTAAGGGAAAGAAAGAGGAGAACTATGAATCCATTTTGAGCGTGATTCTCTAAAATAATAATGACAAAAATTTTGACGCGGTGGGACACCAAGATGAAAAAGCCATATCATTTGGATAGGTTAAATTGTTACTCTGTTCCTTTTTCAATAGGCCATTTGCGAATCACCTTTAGCCTCTTTTCCAAAATGAGGCCTGACTAGCCATTTAGTATTGATAGTAAACTGAAGTATAAATTGTAACACATTAATGTTTTTTCATACATGTATCTCGAACTTAAAGACAATTTAGAATCACAATCGTATTCACCTAAGTATTTAAGGACGCTGGTTTCAGAGGAGGCTTTCGATGCCTTCATTATAATATATACTCTGAAGATTTTACAATAATTTTGAAACTTCTTCGTCTGACAAGAATGGCCCAACTGAAATTGAATTTATGTTTTCGGACGCCCCTACAGGATCGTTGTAGTTCGGGTTTTCAACAAGATCATAACACAAACATTCTCCACACTGAGCAGGTTTCTTCGTCGAACTCGAATGTATTCTTTAGCGCGATAATAAACTGATATGTGACGAAACATTTTAATTACACAAATCCCCTCTAACCTTGAGCTCGATGGCGCACTTCATACCATGTGAGAGAAACCTGTAAGAGAAACAAACGTGAAAGATTGATCGAAAACTGTCAACAGGTTGCTAGAGATATAAATAGCCAGTCTGCTGAAATTAATGCAGATAAAAAGGGGAATCGGCTCGATTAGAAACAACGGCAAAAAGAGGGACCTCTGCCCCTTCGCTAGACTTTACTGCTTACCCATTCTAACCCGCTTGGATACTGAAATTTAGGTTTCTTCTTGCTGGACAGAGAAAATCTGTGGTAACTTAAACTCTTTTCAAGTCGAGTTATTTGTATTCAGTTAGCGATCCTAATAACAGAAGCGCACGCGAAAGTGATGGTGCAATCGATGTCGCGGATCGCACTTATGACAGTAGAGGAAGACTGGAACGAGGTAGGGTCTGGGGATTAGGGGGGATTCCCCTAAAACGATTTCTGTCAGTTTTTTTAACTTTTCAGCGAGTGTACGTGTGTTCGCTTATAACCATAGACGACTTCGTGTTTCCTGGTATGCTGAACGTTCTACATTTAGTTGTTTGTGGGTGACCCTTGATGCGGACGTGGAAATTTCAAACAAAGAGAATTATCCGGGACCCGTTTTGATTGATTTACTATGTGCAACGAATCTTCTCGCTTCTCAAATATTAGCAATTAAAATAATGGCCGAAACATTGCGATCTTCAATTGATGTCTTGAATTTACAATTGAAAGTGACTCTTGAATTATTGTTCGGACGATTAAGCATCTTTTTATCATCATGGTCAACAAAGATATCCCATCAACATCCTTACATATGATCAACAAAAGACCTGCCTTGTTCCTGTCAACCAAGCTTCCTACGAGTGACTAAAACTAATAGTATAGCGATCTACACCTAATAAGGACTCTAAATCATGAATCAAATGATTAAACACTCATATGTCTTTGTTAGGGCATGGTTAATGAAAACATTGGCAAAATCATTCGGACAAGAGTGGACAGAGCATTAATTGGAAAAGTGGAAAACTGTCGAGCGAAAATTTTGGAGGAAGAAGCTTAAACATTGTGAGGAGGGGAAATTGCATGAAAATTTTCCTACGAACGCATTTTAACCTAATGAGATTACCCCTTCGCACTAAAAACGGTTTTCAGAGTAGATTATTTCGAAAACATTCGTGTGGGTAAACGAAAGCGGAGGTAAATGTATTCGAAATACAAATGACAGGGTGGTACAATATATTTGTTCTCCTGTAAGTATGAAAGCTTAGCTACGATAACATATTATTGTAAAGCCGTGATATACTCCAGTATAATCTAAATCTAGAAAAGCCTGGTCTGGCTGGCCGAAATATTATTTTGAATGATATTTTGATACCTCACTATTCAGTTCTCATATTTGGCTGATGGGGTCTCCTGAGAGGTACAACTTACAACCAAGCAGGATCTTTGTTCGCAGTTTTGGAAGTTTATCAGTTTCAAATCGTTTGTTTTCCTTCTTTAAGTAGAACTTGTGGACGAAGAAGAACGAGTGAACACTTAATTAGTTATCAAATACAAAGAACCGGAAATCTTACGCCAACATAACTTTACACGTCATATCCTTTGAGTGCAAAGGTAATCAGCAATATGAAAATGTTCGTGTGGGAAACGTAAAACGTCGCCAAAGAAGAAAAGATGCAACGAAATAAGTAAACAAGCTTACTTTGACGACGTGTTGTGTCCATGTGACGTCTGTTTGAGGCGATCCGATCCAGGGCTTAGTTTTCGATCTTGTCTTTACCTTCTTACAAACTAGCTCCATCTCTTTGACATACTGCATTGACGTCAGTTTTTTTTTTTTATCAGTTCATGACTATCAGGCCATTCTTGCATAAGACACGAGGCAAAGACGTAGCGAAGTCGGAAATGCGCTAATTTGGTAATGCAACCCATGTCTGAACTGTCAATTTCCTCGAAACCGTTGCCATAATTTGCAGCGACTCGCAAACACTGGTTAAAAATTGCTTTAAGCTAAATTGAAAATTAAGTGAAGCATATTTAAAGCTCGAGTTCTTTCTGCTTTTAAAGCCAAGAACTGGTTAGTAACGTTCACATCGAAATGAAAAAGGAAGAAGTATATCAAATTACTTATCACTCCAAAGGGGTTTTTCCCTCCAATATGCTTGAATGACCTTTGCATGCGTACTGAAGCAAAACCTCTCGCATCTAAGGCACTGAAGATTGTTCGAGAAAGCTTTCCAGCAACCGGTGTCTTATTCTAATATTCATTTTTCTGAAGTTTTCTTTTATGCACGAGGCAGCCTTACTAAAAAGGTCTTGTTGTCAAAAGTAGTTAATTTAGTGTTAACAACTGGGTTGAAAACGTAAATTAGCCACCGTAAAGGGTAAAAAAGCTGACGTTTCGAGCGTTAGCCCTTCGTCAGAGCGTAGAAAAGAAGTTACACTTTTAGTTTTAATAAGCGTACAAGTTTGCTTCCTTTACAGCAACCTAAATGGTATGTAATCAGCCTCCAAGTCTTCCGATTGTGACTGGAAATGACTCTCCTAAATTGCAAATCGTATGAACTCCTTAACTTCCATAGCCAAGTGAACAGGAGGAGATATCTACAATCATCGGTCACTTACCGCAAAAAATCAACCGGAAGTCAGTTAACGCTGAGTAATCTCTCACAACAGATTTCCGTTAGAAGTGCTGCTTCTAGTTGTCTCCAAAAGGGAGCTAAACATAGAAACAAACATTGCTTATGCTTCGGTTAATTTCACTCAGGATTCTATCTAAGGGGCCATTAGTTATCGCTGGGAAAAGGGGGGCTAGGGGAAAATGGTTGTTTCACTACAAAATTTACTAGGGGCCCCCACGAGGCTCTGTAATATTCTTATAGTTTTTCCCCACCCCACCCCACCCCACCTCATCGGAAATTAATTGGCAGTCGATTTTCTATAGTCTCCCCTATACATTCTGTTGGACACGACTAATCCCCCCGACCTCCTCCCCCCCCATCCTCCGCCCCTTCCCCCTCCTCAGGGTATAAAAAATGACTGGTCCCTGACGAAAAACCTGACTGAAACCCGTGGATAAAATGTTAGCATATTTTTACTCAACATTATATTTATAAAAGAAGAGGAAAATAAAGTTATTTGGGTTAGACTACAGTATTAGCTCATGTTTTTATTTTTTAATCCTATGTTAGTTATGTTAGTGAGCTATTTGCAAATGCGACGAAATTTGGCACGGAGCTTCTATTTAAGGTGCAAACAAGGCGTGAAGGAGGGCTCCCTCGGGACCCTTTTTCTCTCGTTAGGACTCAAAATTACATAATTTATGGTAGCCTTTATAACACATAAGATACATTGTGGATCAGATATGGGAGGCTACGATCGGCAACAAAATTTTTGCCACATTACCAGAGGGACCACATTCATAGTCTGGAAGAGCTCATCAATTCCATCCCTTATATGATCCTGTATCTTCCTAATAGGAGTAGCGTGAATGATGCTAATGATATGTGTCAAACAGTTTTGCCGCGGACTGTTTTGCTTTAGTTAAATGTATAAGTAAGCCCTGATTTACGAAAGTCCATAAGGGATCAGGCGCAATCCCAAAATGTTTTTGAAATTCAAAGGTTAAAAAATAAAAATCCTGTTTGAAAAGATTTACGATCTAAACAACATTTACAAATCTTGAACACAAGAATAAATTAAAAGGTTTTTGGGATTTCCCCTTATCGGCTTCCGTATGATTAGAGGTGTTTATTGCAGACTTTGAGATTCTTCGTGTGGAAAAAAGCTTTTGCTTTCAAAAGTACTAGTGAGCAAATGAATAAGGGGAACAACGCAACAGAGGCCTCTTCCTGTCCAAGGTGCTGCCTGATGTGGGCTTGGGCCGCGTTGTTCAAAACACGATAAATCTAACCGATGGTTAGCCAACAATTTTTCATCTAGCTTTGCAGCTTTGTAGTCAGTTTTAATTGCGCATATTTTTTCCTCCAGTGTTGTCTCACGTTAGAGCTAAGGTGAAATCCCTGAATTAAAATTCTCGCTTGTAAAATTGGTTGCTCAAAGATACTCTCTGGATAATTTGTAAGAGAACCTTTCTTGCTCTGAAGAATTAAGACTAAACCTATTTACACTTCACTAAATGATACCTGAATACAAAGATAAATCAAAATCTGTAATACAGAACCAATTGCATGGTTCTGTGCTTGCTAGTCTATGTCACTCCCATCCCTCTCAGAATTTTATTAGGAGGCAGCCTGGAAATTACCAATTCTCCAATTAGAGTTTTGCTCACATGGACGTCCTATTTTGCTTCACCCTCCTAACCTTGTTTCGTAGGGAAAGATCATGGAACAGAATGAAATTTTGAAAGGTTTAAGAGGTCCAAAATACACCTTTGAAAGCCAGTGATGACAAATAATATTCAGTCAGCTTTCACCCAATCAAATCATGTTCTCTAATTCTTGTAACACTGTTAAAATCTTAACCTTGCATTAATCGTCTTTTTTTTCCCTTGGTGTCTTGTAAACAATCCTGGACATTAATAAGCAGTGTAAAAGACATGTAATGAGTCACAGTGGAAACATCATTTCTTCACTAAATGTTGAAAAGTTCCTAGCATTAAATAATTTTCATATAGCTTTAAATTATTATCCCATAGCTTATTAAATTTAAGAGTGATTTTCAAGTAAGCATTTAAAAAATTAAACAAAGAAGATTGCATGATACAAATCCCTAATAAAGTACATTTTAAGTAAAAATAAAGGTCAGAAATTCTCATTAATTACCACCTCTCATTAATTCACACTCATCAATTAAATCAGAAAGACAGCTTTTGATGCCAAAAGTTAACCCAAACACTTTTTCTCTAATGTGTAGTTCTTAATCTTAAGGCATTAGTTATGTATCAATTAAATTATCTATACCATACCATTTTTCAGAACAAAATACCAGAAAGGTTCATGGTTTAACAAAATTAAGATATCATTCAAAAATACTATTTGAGATACATATATTGTTTTCTTTAAATATATGTTTAACTTGAATTGGTTTAATGCAGCTCCAGTCTGCCCTGACTAATTTAGTAAACCATGCCACGTCATAATCTCATTTCTGTTGTTGCCACAGCAACTGTCAAATATTTTGTACACCAATATGAATGCTGAATTTGCTGCCATTACTCCATCCTTAGGAAATAAAAATAAAAGACCGCATAAAAACTGCAAATTTTACAATCTTTGTTGTAAAGATGCTTGTTAATTTATCCCAGTTAGCATCTTGTTAAGTAAAGTCATACTCACTTATATGCTGTAATAGCTATATTAAGCAATTACGTACTTGTGTTTTAAGTTAAACTGCTTCACAAAACGTACACAATAACTTCATGCATAGAAACATCAATATTTTATCAACAATACTATTCTTCTGGGTACAGAAATTCCCATTGTATTGTGCATGCATTGTATGTGGGTTTTTTGCTTGTTACTCTTTTTTGCTTTACTGGAGTTTTGCATCTGTTAGAGGATTTTGAGTTGAAACTCAAATGAGTATGCTTCTGTTTGTCCTATGAGCCTTTAAAGGTCAAATGTATAAAAGTGTACATGTATGTAACAATTTTACCAGCATTGTGGTAGCCAACTATAGCTAGTGTGCTTATAGCCACAAGCTGCCAGAAGCTTCCATAGAGAACTTCATCTTTGAACCCTGGGATACAATTGGCTTATAGTGGCCACACTACGTCTAATAAAATTAATTATCCCTCAACTTGTTCATCCCTGTCCGAGTCTATTTTGTAAGAAACCATTTGTCTACTGCACTTAAAGCATAATGCAATCATGCCTTCATTCAGATTCTCAGAATTTTTCTCACTTTCCCCTGTCTTGTTCTGTCTGAGGATTTTGTTCGAAATATTTTGATTGGTTCTGATGCTATTGAGGGAGAAACTAGGTGCACGACTGTAAAAAATTCATTATCATTCAAAAATACTATTTGAGATAAATATCACGTATTCTTTCCTTTCTCCCTTAATGTTCTGTTGAGGCCCATGGCCTGTTGCAGATGTATTTTGCAATGTCATTTCTTCCACAATTTTTGAGGGCTTGAACAAATTCCCTCATTGTAGGCTCCTTTGTAGAAGTTTTTAATGTTTCAAGTAGACATGCTGTGGGACTTCTTCTGTCAGCTTCTATCAAGTTTAAAGTATCAGGATTAACCATCAGCTCTCTTCCAATGCTGCGCCATGTTTTGTGAGTATGGGACTCCAGGGCATCAAGTTTTTTTTGAACATAATTGAACAAGTTACCATTCTTATCACAAAACATTTCCATACCAGAGACAAGAACATCTATGAGACAGAGAGGAAAGGAAGTTAATAAATATTTGAAATTATTTGGGGCATGTTTGTTTCGAGAACATTGCTCGCGTGACATTTGCGTTACGTTTAAAAGTTTATTTAGTTTAATATTTCACTTTTTCTTTTCACTTATTGATCACATTGATTGACATTGAAACATGAGTAAGTTTGTGGTTTTTAGTTAGTTTTCACACGTGTCGTGTCGGAGGTATGAATCAGGATAGCTTTCCCGTTTTTAATGGTTACACAGTTCAGTTTAACTCTGGAATCCCGTCACGAAGTAAGTCAGTTGTTTTAAGTCGTTTTTGGTTTTCTTAGGCTTTGTTACATTCAATTATTCGCGTTGATTTCTGTTGGTGTAATTTCTGTAAGACCGCATGTAATTAGCGGTTAAATCTGTTCGTGTTTTTAAGATTATATGATGTACTTAGGTCTCTTAGTTTTGGTTAGGTTCTGTTGTTTAGGAATGTTATTTATTTTATTATTTCAGATCGAATAAAATTCTTGTAAAATTCATACGATTCGGGATTGTTCAGAGTCACGTAATTTGGTTTTCATCCGACGGACCAATGTTCACTTCACAATTTTGAGGTGTGTGCATTTCACATCCACAATTTTTTCAGATTTGGGGACATTTGTGTGGAATCACTTATAATAAATTATGCAGTTTTTATGAATTACAGGGAGGTGCCAGGATATTAACTGTATTTATGTATTGATGTATGGATAAATGGTTGGTCAAAGTCATCTTCCATTTTAGTTGCATGGGTTTTTATCATGTTATCATTGCAATACAAGTCTTGGCATGTACTGTTTTCATCACCTTATGTTAAGATTTACAACCTTGGAGTGAGGCTTTTGCTATTATGACTATAAATTATTATCACCTGCAGGAATATTTTCTACATTCATGTCATCCTCCCCTTGAGCATCACTGGCATGAGAAGACACCTCATTTCTTGATATGTTGTTATCTAAAAAGATAATTGTTGATGGATATTATTTTTACGAATTATTTTAAGAAAATCATTGGTAAGCAAAAAACAAAATGCAGGCCTTTTTTAATTATTGTTTAGAACATTTCATAGAATGTGCAACCTTTCGGTTAATTTACTGGAAGGCAATTGTAGGGATACTGAGATATATAGAGAAAAAAATTGAAAAGAAAAACTGTCATAATGCAATAGTCCATTTTACAGTTGTGTGCTTGGTTGCCAAGCCTTCGAACATGAGTGAGGATAAGGGTGACGTTGTTATGATACAAAGTTAACCTTGCTGCTTTCAAATGTAAATTAATTACTTTGTTATCATACCAACTACCAGTAGATACTGGTCTCTATCACAACATGGTCACCTTCAGCCTCACTCCAATCAAAGGCAATGAAGTACACAATTGTAAAATGGCCTATTCGACTCAATTGTACCTGTAGGAATGTCCACTGATGCCAGTGTTAAAAGAGGTTCTGTGGCATTATCTTCAAGAGCAGGATCACGCAAATCCTCTAATGAAAAAAATGAAAAAAGCATAAAAACTTGAAGCTCTTTCTCTTAATTTCTCTGGTGCAATTAACATGTTCTCGATCCACACAATTTTGATATTTGAACCAGCCACCAGGTAATGAGAATTCAAACTTTGTCGGCAGCTAAAGAAAATACTCCTGGCTTCCTGATTTCTAGGGGCTGGAATAAACAGATGCCACTATAGAAGGGAGAATTTAAAATGAATCAGATCTTAGAGTTTAAGAAGTCAATATTTAGACTGCATTAATTGATAAAGCCACAATTTCTGGTAATACAATGATAACTGTTGCACTGCGACAAAAAAATGAAATTTTTGGTTCAAATATTTATGCTAATTGTATAAAAGCAATACGTGATACATACATCTTTTTGATTTAAGGTGAAATTACCAATTCAGGTCATGAAAATTAAATGAAGCCAGGTTTGGATAGCTGATCAAAGGGTGACTGCTGCTTGGTTTATGCTAAATGAGGTGTCATGATAGAATTTTATTATACTGAGTAGCAAACTAAATCTCTAGTTCGAGAGAGTTTAACTAAAATTTATTCTCGTTATCTCTTCACCATATTCCCACAAACAGTGTGGCTCCATTATCCGCATATATAAACACACAACCTACAATTCTTCTAATCAATCTGAGGAAGGGCTAATGCTTGAAATGTCAGCTTTTATACTCTTTATGGTGGCCAATTTACATTTGTAACTTATTTCATGTTATTAATTATTACCCTGTTGTACTCTCCCACCGACGCAGCATGGCAATTTCACCAGAAACTTAACCCCTTTCAATCCCCAGAACTAGAAAAAAATTGCAAAACAATCCTTATTGTTTTTGTTTTTTTGTTTTTGTAAGATGACGCTAACCTATCCTATGTTGAATTTAAACTTTGAAATACCTTGTGTTGAAGAGCTACTAATTGTGGCTCGTGATGAACCCTCACTTTCATCAATATCAGTCAGTGGAATATTTTCCTCTGCAATATCTAAAAATTGTATGTTTTGAGTTAATTGCAATTATTGACCAGGCATGCACTGCATGTATATAGACTTCTGCAAAAATATAAACAGGAGAGCTAAAATTAATTGTTAAACAAACTTAAAGTTACAATCACCAAAATTAAAATCTTAATAGAATTTTATGAATAAATTCAGTCTGTCACAAGGATTAAGATCTTAACCCTCTCACTCCCAGATCTCATAATGTATTCACCTTACTGTCTTGGTCATTCCTTGCCCTGTAGTTAGAGGGTTAAATGATTGAGATGTGGGCTTATTGTCAAATTGAGAGATGCCTTTACTGAAATAGTTGAAAAGGCAAAATTTAGGTAGAAGAGGGTGAATATGTGATCTAAAATAAAACATTTCCAACTTGGGGAATGTTAAGAATTGACTGCTTTCCCAAACTACTGGGTAACTTAAATCTCTTGACATAAAACTGGATGTTAATTTTTTTTTATCAGTTTCAGGTAAGCTGTTCACTCCCATGATCTCATTTGTAATTCTTCTTACTGTCTGTTATACAATTCTCCAGGAGTGATATTGGAGAAATTGGTAATGGATCAATAAATAATCCTCTAATTTATATTTTGCTTTATTCTCATCACTTGTCTGCTTCATGTTGTGATGATATTGTGGGAAGAGATTATGTTCAGGTCAGTTGTGGGAGTTAAAGGGTTGAGGTTTTCCTGCTATCAGTTCCCTGATGACAAGATCAGAGGACTTGCCACCAGGATTTTTGACCATATAAGTATTAAAATCCTACCTGTTGGCTCTCCATCTCTCTTTGAAGTGCTGTGATCTTGCCCTTTCTTGCAGACAATCACCAGCACTATGATAGTCACAACAATCACTACTGTAACAGCTAACACACAGATAGCTATTAAAAGTGCTTTTTGGTCCTGTTGAAGCTGAACTTCCTTTGTTGACCACACATATGGAGAGTTATTAGTTCCCTTCAGTGATGTCCCTTGTGAAGGGGTATTATCAACACCTGTTGATGGAAATTTTGGCTGACTGCTGTTTATATTGATAGAATTACTTGAGGCAGTAGTGGTAACATCATGAGCTTCTCTTTTATATGGTGTTTCAGTTGTTTCTTTGCCACTGGTTTCCAGTTTAACAGTTTTTGTGGAATGTGTTGAAATAGCTGTGGACATCTCTGATTCTGGCTCTTCCACACAGTCATCAAATGTATTATCAAAATCATACCCTTTAGGACATGTTTTCCCACACTCACGGTTCTGGTTGATTGTGCATTCCTGAATCACATTCCTAACACCACAATCTTGACATGTTTTGCAGTGTCCTTTTCCATGGTCATCAGAGTAAGTTTTGTTGGGCTCACAAAATACACACTCAATTTTTGAGTTATTTGACACCTTGGATCCACAAGGAACTGACAATCCTTGTCCAATGGGACAGTTTGGACAACTAAAACAGTCCACTATTTCACCATTAGGACCATACCGTGCAATATTTTTTGACAGAGGACATGGTATGGGTCCACATTTTATTGGAGACTGCAGCCATAGTAACCAAAGTAGTGTTATCTAAGGGAAAGAAAGAGGAGAAATATTAATCCATTGTGAATGTGATTCTAGAAAATATCTGTTTAAAAAATTTTCGATGCAGTGGGACATTAAGATGAAAAAGCCATATCATTAGGAGGGGTTAAATTCTTGCACTTTTCCTTTTCAATAGAGCATTTCCAAATTACCTTTGGCCTCTTTTTCAAAATAAGGCATCATGCTCAATCATTTGTATGAAGATGAATTTATTTTGCAGAAGAATGAAAAGTTATAATCATATAAAAGGGTGAGCACCAGGACTTGCTTTGAAAAAGAGGCCAAAGGTGATTTGGAAATGGGCAACTGCTATAACCATTTACTGTTCATCCCTTTGTATTATACCACATAAGTATATTTTCATACAGTCATTTGTCTCAAACTTATAGACAATTTAAAATCACAATTATATTCAGTCACTTATAATAATTGGATTAAGGATGCTGGTTTCAGAGGAGGCTTTCAATGCGTTCATTATAATATACCCTCTGAAGATTATACAATAATTTTGAAAGATAAAATTTTTTAGTATGACACGAATGACCCAACCGAAGTGGAATTTATATCTTCGGATGCCCCTATATATGTATTCTTTTGCGCGTTGATAAAATATGCGACGAAACATTTCATTTACATCAATCCCCTCTTACCCTGAGCTCAATGGCGCACTTCATACCATATGAGGCAGACCTGTGAGAGAAATAAACGTGAAAGATTAGTCGGAAGCTGTCAACAGGTTGCTAGAGATTTAAATAGCCAGTCTACTAAAATAAATGCAGATGAAAAGGGGAATTGGTTCGATTAGAAACAAGGGCGAAAAGAGGGACCATGGTCACTTCACCACTTACCCATTCTTGCCCGCTTGGATACTAAAATTAAGATTTCTTCTTGTTGGATAGAGAAAATCTGTTGTAATTTAAACCCTTTTCAAGTCGATCTATTTATATTCAGTTAACGATCTCAAACGATCCCAATGACCGAGGTGCGCGCGAAAATAATGGTGCAATCGATGTGCCGGAGTATCTTTATGACTGTAGAGGAAGACTGGCACGAGGTAAATTCTGGGGATTCCCCACAACCCAAATTAACCAAACGACGTCAAATTCTGTTAACGTGCGTTCGCCCTTAATCTTTGATGACTTCATGTACCTGGCATGCTGAACATTCTATGCTAAGCTGTTCGTGGGTGACCCTTCGTACAAATTTCAAACAAAACTATGAAAGCAAAAACAAACAGAGAAGAGAATTATCCGGGCCCCGTTTTGATTGGTGTACTATGTGCAATGAATCTTCGTCGCCTCTCAAATATAAACAGATTAAATAATGGTCGAAACATTGCGATCTTCAATTGATGCCTTGAATTTACAATTGACACTGACTCTTGAATTATTAGTCGGAAAATTAAGCATCTTATGGTCAACAAACATATCCTATCAACATCCTTACGTATGATCAACAAAAGATCTGCCTTGTTCCTGTCAACCAAGCTTCCAACGAATGACTAAAACTAATAGTATAGCGATCTACACTTGATAGGGAATCTAACTTCATGAAACAAAATCATCCAGACAAGAGTGGACAGTGCATGTGAGGGAAGACGAAAGCGGTGGTAAATGTATTCGAAATACAAATGACAGGGTGGTATAATATATTTGTTCTCCTATAAGTATTAAAGCTTAGCTACAATAACATAATATTGTAAAACCGTGATATACTCCAGTATTATCTTAATCGGAAAAAGCCTGGTCTGGCTGGCCGAAATTTTGTTTTGAATAATATCTTGATATCTCACCTTTCACTTCTCACGTTTGGCTGATGGGGTTTTCTGTCAGGTACAACTTATAACTAAGCAGGATCTTTGTTCGCAGTTTTGGGAGTTTATCAGTTTCAAATCGCTTGTTTCCCTTCGTTAAATAGAATTTGTGAACGAAGAAGAAGCGGATGAACCGTCTATTAGTTATCAAATACAAAGAACCGGAAATCTTTACACGTCATAACCGTGGCAGCTGAAAATCTCAATTTGAGCGCTGAGGTAATCAGTATTATGAAAATGTTAGTGTAGAAAACGTAAAACATCGCCAAAGAAGAAGAGATTTTTGACAACATGTTGTGTCCATGTGACGTCTGTTTGATGTGATCCGATTCAGGGCTGAACGTTCGATCGCGTCTTTACCTTCGTTCAAAATAACTCTATCTTTTTGAAAGACTGTATAAAACTCAGTTTTTTTATGTCAGTTCATGTGTTAGTCCATTTTCACACTAAGACACGAATTAAAGAAGTAGCGGAGTCGGAAATGGGCTAATTTGGTTATGCAACCCATGTCTGAACTGTCAATTTCCTCGGAATGCAGTGACTCCAAACATTGTTGAAAAATTGCCTTAGGCTAAATTGGAGAGTAAGTGAAGCATATTTAGAGCTCGATTTCTTTCTGTTTGAAAGCCAAGAACTGGTGTAAGTGACGTTAAAATCGAATTGAAAAAGAAGGAAGCATATCAAATTACTAAAGTTACAAATTATCTCTTAGGGGTTTTTCCCTTCGAGACCAGCAACTAGCTTGCGCCTGACTGACCTTCGTATACATATTTTAGCAAAACAAGCCGCATCTAGGGCACTGAAGATTGTTCGAGAAAGCTTTCCAGCAACAGGTATTTCATCTTAACTTTCAATTTCTCGAGGTTTGCTTGTGTGCACGAGGTAGCTTTACTGAGAAGGTCTTGTTCTAAAAATTAGTCACTTATCTCATTTTTCTTACGTGGTGGACACTGATTAAAAAACTGATGACTAAGCACATTGGATGTGGGGGAAATATTCCCATAAAACAACCTTTCTTACGTGATTTTAGAGAGAAATACTTCTTTCGAAATTTGAAACTAGGATTGAAAATCACAGAGGCGACGGAAAAAGAAATAAGGACTTCCGTTTCAGGATAACATTGTGAATTATTTGTGATCAGAAATTATGCAAACGAAGCAAATTTAATTCCAGAGTTCATAAATGTGTTCGTTTTAACGGTAGAGGAAAAAAATGGTACAATTTCATTGGTTAATTCGAGTCAGTCAAGAAAGTGGCTGTGGAATCAATGATAAACAAGAGCTACATAACAAAGAAGTCGAATAAAGTGAATTTTCCTGGGAAATTTTTTAAGCATTCTTGCGTTAGCTGTTGTATTGTGTGGGAAATATTCCCATAAAACAACCTGTCTTACGTGATTTTTAAAGAGAAATATTTCTTTCGAAATTTGAAAGTCGGATTGAAAAACACATACGCCACAGAAAAAGAAATAAGGACTTCCGTTTCAAGATAATGTTGTGAGTTATTTGTGATCAGAAATTATGCAAACGAAGCTAATTTAATTCGCGGATTTCATAAATGTAATCATTCTAACTGTGGAGGAAAAAAATAATATAATTTCAGTGGTTAATTCGAGTTAGACACGAAAAGTGGCTGTGGAATTAATGATGAACAAGGGCTACATAACAAAGAAGTCGAATAAAGTGAGTTTTCTCAGGAAATTCTAGGCATTCTTGCGTGGGCTGTTGTATTTTAGGTACGATATTCGAAAAACACACTTGGATAATGGTTGGATTTGAAATATGTACAACAAAGCTGCTAAGATATAACGTTTGAGGTGGCTAAAAATAATAAGAGATGAAAGAAATTTTCAGTACTAAAACTATTCAGAAATAATGACATTTCTGCATGTTTTTGCAAAGCAGGTCAAGGTACATAGCACAGCCCGTCATGTCTGCTCAGATGAACACTGATTTATTCATGCTGATTAGCATCTGTACTGTTTATATGGTGCGTACGTAAATTACGTTTTAACTATCTTTATGAAAATTCATTTGATTGTAGTTATATCTTTGTATTATATTCATCGTTCTGTGGAAAATACGGTGTATAAAAAACTGAGTTACTGCGAGCGTCGTATAATTATATTTAACTTTACGTAAAGCTACTGAAGAAGTAACATAGTCAGCATATTAGGTCAGGTGCTGTTATTCGATTCGATAGTTTACGTTCTCGTCTGTAGTCGACCAACACGTAACTTATTGTGCTAAGAAATCTTGGGATCTCTTGATGTGGCATAACAAACGAGGCAGGAGGAAGAAAACGAACTTGCAATACTGTTTTCTGACAGAAACTTAAACAGTGGGTGATCTAATGCAGCGAGTATTACACACCTCCTCCTATCAAAGTGCGGTTACTTTCACTTTCGAAAGAGCCATCGAAAACAAAGGTTTGATGACACTTTTAATTAACTGTCTCCGAGGAAAAAGGGAAAATACCTCCCAAGTCGACTCGATTGTCTCTGGTTGAGAACTTAATCAATCAAACTTCCAAAATAAACAATGAGGATCCGAAGATCAGATCATCTATGGACAAAAAATAAAGAAAGATGAATGGGAATGAAAAAAAAATTGGATAGTCCATATCTCTGAACGAACACAAACTTTTTTTTTTCCACAATATTTTCTTCTCACGTGAAATACTCGTGTCCCTTCAGATATCAAATATCCGGTTGTCATGGGTAGGTTTAAAAATATCACCTGCGTTTGCGGGTTTTGCCGCAGCCTGTTAATTTCGCCTATTTTCCGGGTTTATAGAATAAGAAATGACTGTCAGCGCAGTAATGTACGGAGGACCTTGATCTTGGATAAAACCGTGAAAAATTCCCGCCATTTTAAATTGCATTTGCTTCGCTGAATGATTAATCTGAAAAAACTGCGTCTCCTTCTTAACCAACAAAACGAGAGAGAGTTATGGTTAATTGCAAATTTCAAACTTTATCTAAGAAAATTTAGGCTATGAATCATATTACCCAATGGGTGACAAAACCATAAAATACTGAGTTGTTTGTGGCCTCAGAGAAAAAAAGAGGGGAAAAACTCGTACTTGTCAATGTCTGCTTTCTGATTAGCGCAAACTCTTACATTATCAGTTTCCAGTGCAAGTGGCATGTAACAGAAGCTGCAGATGGAATCAGCTGACTATCTTGCGTCCCAAGGGAGCCGTATGCTTTCCTTGTCCAGAATGTCCCGAGGGTCAAGGCATGGTCCCGCAGTGTGGCTCGCGTATAACTGCTGACGTCACAGTGGAGTGTGTGGAATGTAAACTTGGCAAATCGTACTCGGATAAGCAAGATATCTCCTCGTGTAAGCCGTGCACCATCTGTGATCCTAACGAAGAAACGATCAGCCCATGTACTGCCACGAAGAATGCGGTTTGTGGAGAATGCAATGCTGGGTATGTAAGTCATAGCTGAATTTTACCAGAAGAGCGGCATGAGGATGAAAATCTCTCTCGTCGTTTTTCAGGTTCGAGAAAAGATACTCATTAACTGAGACGTATCGCTAATAAATCATTTTCAGTTTCATTATTTGAAGAGTTTATCCCTACTCCAGACCCTTCAATCATTAGTTGTCAGCAGGAAGACAACTTTCTTAGCTTGTGCCTTATTGTCGTACGTCCCGTTTTCTTATATCGGAAACATGTATGTAAGTTTGGTCATCAAAATAGAGCCTGACTTGAGATTTTTGTTCAACTCTACCTCATCTGTATCGACTGACTTAATCAAATCTTCCTTTAATATTTTGTGCCCGCTATGATTATTCACAGGACAGATGTGAAGCGCATTTTTGATGAAAAACCGATCTTAAGGGCTGATTTCATTTTCAACTTTTCATATAACAGCTTCTATAGAGCTACAACTGGAGATTGCAAACCTTGCATGAGATGTTGTGCTGATAGTAAGGACGAAGATATAGAGAAACAGTGCAAAGCACAGACCAACCTCCCAGCAAACCAAATATGTCGATACGATGTTGACACCATCAAATGCGCGCCTACAGCATACAGGACAACTGCGCCTGCTGTGTTGGTATCCACGGCACCTGTAATGTCACAAGACATGATGGCTGCCCGCACTAAAGAGGGAAAGAGTGGTAGCACCCTGTTGTTCATTTTGTTTGCAAGCTGTCTTGCTTTCTTTGTGTGTCTTTTACTTGCAGTGATGTTGGCTTTTTATTACAAAAAGAAAATACTAGCCTCGCTTTGGTGCTCCGGACGTATAGACGGTGTGATTATAACTCGTAAGTATTCAAGGGCGAGAGAATCTCATAGATAAGCCTATAAGACTTTTTCTGGTAAAAATGATTTCTCCACAACACTAGCGCGGACCTCCCTCCCTTTCCTTACCAAAATCGTGAGTTTTGAGCCTAGAAAATCAATTAATTTATACTTTCATACTCATCCCTCTAAATTACGAGTATCTCCCTCGCCTGGGATCTAATTTAATCTTATTTTAGTCAATGAACAAATAGGACAACATAAACTTAAGCTTTTGTACGTCGTTGCCTCCGGAGTATTAGAAGAAACCGTCAAGTTCGGCGGATGTTTCAGCTAACTTGTGTCTTGCTAGTTTACTTGTGCAACCAAGGGTAATCTCCCTAGAATTGCACAGTATAATAAATCTGATACTGCATCTCTGATCTTGACCTCTGCATCTCTTACAGCAACACAAGCGGATTGCAATCAGCCTTTGACCACCAAGGTTGTGTTTGGGAATGAAAAAGCGTGTGAATGAACTTACGATTTCCCATACCCATTAACTTTCCTCGCCAAGTACACTTGAAGGAATGAGATAACCTCCTGGCATTATACCTTTACGACTCTTCAGTGTACCAAGTTGAGTTAAAGTTCCACTCATACAGTTTAGACTGCTGATATTCTTCGTGGTCAGTTATATTCACTATGAGGACGCTTCACACGTTAAAAAAAATTTCAGCTTAATCAATTAAATTTCCGTTGGAAAGACCGCCTTTCGCCTCCGGTGGAGACCACGTTTTGCAAAGAAGAGAGTTAGACTGGGTGACATTTAGGGCTTAAATCTAAATTGACTTCGCTCAAGGAATTCCTAGAATTCGCGGTCACAGTAAAGCGAATGTACTATAAATAAGTATCAATTAAAGTCTGTTTTGTTCGAAATCACGTTTTTATTGTGTGAAATATATATTACTGTTTATTTCTGTCCCATTACACCTATGGCCAATATTCACAAAATTCACGCGATATCTATTGGTAGATATGTTCCCATGGAAAAAACCCTATCAAAATATATTAACGTGTTTTTGTGTACGACGAATTGACATTAGAGCTTTCATTCACAAACGGTTATTGACGGCATAAACGGTTATCCATAACCCAACTTTTTTCTAAATTGAAAAAATAACTTAACATCTTTAGAATTCTGGATAACACATTCATAGATAAAGTATATAAGAATAAGTTAATAACCTGCAAAACTAGTAATTTTCACGTTTGACTCATAGAATAAATTAAGCTATCAAAACCAATTTCACCCCCTTAAAAAGTCGTACAACATGACCTCATGAATCTTTAAAATAACTCTTATATGATTCATTATCTTTAACCGTAGTTTGCATTTGACTTTGGTTTCATTAAATATGACGTTAGTATGTCTCTAAGAAGTTTTGAACGGTCTTTTAACATACGTGAGTGTATTTCTGAATAATTTCACGAAAAGTATGAAGATAAATCCATTTATAAATGAATACGTCTCGGATATAAATTTTAACTCTTCAAATAGACTATTTGAGGGTTTAGTCTGGTAGACAAAAGGCACAATCATCCTGTTCTCAAGCATTTTTTTCTTGTAAACATGGATAACTAAGCCCTTACAAAGAAAATATCTTCCAAAAAGGAATTCAATAAGTTATTTTTCTACGTTTCATATTTTCATAGAGAGCCCATCTTGGACCCAACAGTTTTGATACTTTTCACTTCAATCTTCGGTTAGGGGAGGAGG